TAATAGCTATCACTTCCATTTGTTCAGGATCTATTATGTGGCTGGCATTGTGTTAAATAACCATTTGATCCTTGTTAAAAAACAAAAACCAAACCTTCTGGGGCTGTATTACAGTTTTGGGACGAGGAAACAAACACAGAGAGACTGAATAACTGGTCGAGGGTTACTTATTTGGCATGCTGTGGAGTGAGGATTTTAAGAGACTGTAAACTCAGATGCACTCAGGGGTCAGGCAGGTTATACGCAAGGGTGAAGTTGGCCAGATGTAACATTTTAGAGAGAATTGAGGACAAGAGAAATGGCAAGTATACCCAACACTTCCACAGGCTTGCAGAGCTCCAAGCCTACCACTACTGCACCATCAAAGAATTTTAGCCAGGTGCAGTGGCTCATGCCTATAATCCCAGCACTTTGGGATGCTGAGGTAGGATAGCTTGAGACCAGGAGTTCAAGACTGGCTTGGGCAATATAGTGAGACCCCAACTCTCTAAAATAAAAAAATTAGCTGGGCATGGTAGTGCATACCTATAGTCCCAGCTACTCAGAAGGCTGACGCAGGAGGATTGCTTGGACCCAGGAGTTGCAGGCTGCAGTGAGCTATGATTGCACTACTGCACTCCAGGTGCGGCAGCAGAGCAAGACTCTGACCCAAACAAACAAACCAACAAAAAACAGCAACTAGAGAAGAAATTTTTGGGCACGGTGGCTCACACCTGTAATTTCAGAACTTTGGGAGGCCAAGACAGGTGGATCATTTGAGGTCAGGAGTTCAAGACAAGCCTGACCAATATGGAGAGACCCTGTCTCCACTAAAAATACAAAAATTAACCAGGTGTGGTGGCACAAGCCTGTAATCTCAGCTACTCGGATGGCTGAGGCAGGATTGTTTGAGCCTGGGAGGCGGAGGTTGTAGCAAGCCAAGATCATGCCACTGCACTACAGCCTGAGCGACAGGGTGAGACTCAAAAAAAAAAAAAAAAAAAAAGAAAGAAAGAAAAGAAAAGAAAAGAAAATTTTGAGACATCATGCCTGCCCCCAAAAAGCAAAAACAGACAAAGAGAAGAAACCCTGAAGCCTACATTTATTCCATAGGCCTTAGTTTTCCAACCTCTGTGATGTGAAACTGGATTAACGCTTAATGGCATTAAAATTTTTTAGGGTAAACCTTTTTTTTTTAAGAAAAAAAAATTGTTGACCAAGCTGGAGCACAATGGCACAATCTCGGCTCACCACAACCTCTGCCTCCCAGGTTCAAGTGATTCTCCTGCCTTACCCTCCCAAGTAGCTGAGATTACAGGCGTGCACCACCAGGCCCGGCTAATTTTGAATTTTTAGTAGAGATAGGGTTTCTCCATGTTGGTCAGGCTGATCTTGACCTCCTGACCTCAGGTGATCTGCCTGCCTCAGCCTCTCAAATTGCTGGGATTACAGGCGTGAGCCACCATGCCCAGCCTAGGCTAAACCTTTTAAATGAGATAAAACAGAGAGGTAGAAAAGTACACAAATTGTAAGTATATCACTTAATGAATTTTCACAAACTGAACATGATTATGTAATAAATTTCCAGGTCAAGAATCCTAACTCCTAACCCTATATATTAATTTTGTCTTTTTCTGAGCTTTAAATAGATAGAATCACATAGTATGTCCTCTTTCGTACATCTGCTTTCACCCAGTATGCTGTAAGATTTTTTTCCTGTAGCAGCAGGAAGCAATAGTTCCTTATGAAGAGCTTTTATTCTCAAATCTGGTGCTTGATTTATTCCCCCGATGTATTAATTCATTCTAATGCTGCTCTAAAGAACTGCCTGAGACTGGGTAATTTATAAAGGAAAGAGGTTTAATTAACTCACAGTTCAGCATGGCAGAGGAGGCCTCAGGAAACTTACAATTATGGTGGTAGGCAAAGGGGAAGCAAGGCACTTTCTTCACAAGGTGGCAGCAGGGAGAAGTGCAAGCAGGGGAAATGCCAGAGGCTTATAAAATCACCAGATCTCGTGAGAACTCACTCACTATCATGAGAACAGCATGGGGGAATCGCCCCCATGATCCAGTCACCTCCCACCAGATCCCTCCCACAATATGTGGGGATTATGGGAACTACGATTCAAGATGACATTTGGGTGGGAACACAGCCAAGCCATTATCACCTGAGTATCTTATACCTGTGCAACGAAGGAGGAAGACTTCCTTCTCTGAATGTAGATTTTAAAAATGAAAACAAGCTGCTCTAGGACTTTGTTAGAGTTGTGGAAAAGTTTTGTTATTAAAATGTATTTTCTCATGAATTGCCTTGTTCTGTCCACTCACATCCCTTATCAGGTAGTTGGGAGCCATGTTATTCCCATTGATTATATTCAGAAACAGAGGTCACATGCAGTTACATGATTGTATGCTTTTCCCAAGCACAAGTGTGGCAAAATAGACAACTGAGATTTTAGCTGAGGTGTATTGATTACCAATCTGATGCTATTTCCACCTGAACACACACCCCTTAGCATGGTACAAAAGGTACATGGTACACATCCCACCTCAGGGTTGGGGGGATCTGTTCAGTCCTCTGTCACTCGGTGCTCCATCTGCAACCCCAAGGATGTTCAGGGATGCCTGCGAGGTGAGCTGGGCTGGTGCCCAGAGACTGAGGGCTTGGAAGAAATCCAAGAGGCCCGAGGGTAGCAAGGTTAAATACAGTGCACTAAGCTTTGTCTAGGCTCTCCTTTTCCTTGTGTCTTGATTTCCTGTGGGAGCCACAGCCTTTCTGTGTGGTAGTCCATTCTCTTGTACTATTGGATAACTATGGGACTCAGTGATGAAGCCACCAGCCCCTTCAGGCCCTGTGTGCCATGTGGCCATGTTAGAGACCAAATGCATCCCAGAAACACTGAGTGGGATCTGAACCTCAGCACCTAATGTCTCACTGGTCTGACCTGTGAGACACCTCAATACCTCCCCTAAGCAGAAGAGCCTGCTGGGCACTGGGTTCAAAGCCTGGCTCCACCACTTACTATCTGGGGGACCCTAGGTGAGGCATGTAAACTCTATAGGCCTTCTTTTCCTTGTCTGTAAAGTGAGGTTAATTATAGTGCCTGCCTCAAGGGATTCCTATGAGGATAAGAGTTCATGTAAGCAAAGCCTTTAGCACAACACTGCCATCAAATATACACTCTAGAATTGCATGCTGTTACTGGTCATCTCTGTGGGTCTCCATTTTCTTCACTGTAAAATGTGGGCCATGACAATATCTACCTCGTGGGACTGTTGTCAGGAATAAACAGTCGATCCATGTAAGTCCTTAGCATCGTGGCCAAGTTCCTAGCAAATGCTCAATAATGTTATTTATTATTAGTATGATTTTTATTACAGGTCAGTACTTCTACGAATTAGAATGTCTCTCCAATCTTTTGTAATGGCGGTCCACAGATCTCAGATGCAGTCAAACCTCCAGAGTACCAACTTAAGTCTATGTGCTTCCGTGGAAGTAAAGGTACAGATGAACCTGCAGTTGGAGTCCAGCAGTGTGTCGGCCTGGTACCCTTCTTACCAAAAAGACCAACTTGCGGGTAAAGAAGCAGAGGTTCCATGTGGACAGATGGGTTTATCTAGCCTGGCCTGAATGCCAGCTGCTGCTTCAGGAAATTCTAGGACGCAAGAAATTCTTGTCCTACGAGAAGTTCTCTTTCTATAAAAAGGCAACAGAATGGAAAAGGCAAACAACTTTCAGGTTCCCCCAAATATACCCAACGTTGAGGGAAGGTCACATGTGGTGGCTTTGAACCCAGAAATGTTTCTTTGAGTACAGAAACAAAATGATATTTCCCCCTATGTTGTCAAGGGTCCACTGGAGGGAGGTTTTGTTCCTTCCTCTCCTTCTCAAAGAGCCTCAGGGATACATATTCCTGTTTCAGGAGCTCTGGCAACAGTCTTGGATTGCCATGAACTTACCATGTATGTGTGGATCAGTCACTTCTGACTTGGCCTGAGTTTCTCCATCTGGTAAAATGAAGATGTTGGATTACATGACATCTAACATACTTTCTAGCTCTGACAATCAATTACTCATTGATTTCTGTCATGGTAAGAATGGGAATTCATTCCCTGGCATATAAATCAAACCATTAAAGGAACCAGGGGCTGGTTCTGCAGGCTAAAAAAGGACAGCTAGCACTGAGGTTCTTCACTGATCCACAGACAGGCTGTGAAGGCTGGCAAGGCCTTGCATGGACAATTGTGTGTGTATCTAAGTGGTGGCAGTGCTAGCTAGTATTTTTACCTGCCCAGCCCTCTTGTCCCTCTCTTCTAGAATAGAATCCATTTTTCCCTGTTGGAAATTGCTCCCCCCACCCCCACCAGTGAGGCTGTCAATCACACGGCCTTGAAAAAGGTAATTGTGCACATAATCCAAAAAAGAACCACCAAGTGTCCCTTTAGGGGACAGATGTAGATGTAGCTCAGAGAGAGAAAGTCTCTCCTCTAAAAATCAAAACTACTCAAAGCTGTTGGAAGTCATCTTTACAACCAAGTGGAGAGAGCTTACCAGAGTCCAAAGCCAACCCAATAGAAAGTGCAGAGGGAAACAGGGAGAGAAGAAGCAGGGGAAAGGGAGAAGAAGAGGGGAGGGAGGGAGAGACAAGAAAAGGGAGAAAAAGGGAAGATACAAAAGATGGGAAGGAAGAAGAGAGGGAGGGATCAGGAGAGACAGAGGAAGAGATTGAGAGAGGGAGGAAGAGAAAGGTAAAAAGAGAAAGGAAAGAAGAAAGGAAGGAAGAAGAGAGACAATGCCAGTAACTTAAATTTCCTAATTTGAACTTCTGATTTTCTAATTTGAACCTCTAGATTCATATGTACATAAAGCAAGACTTATGTCTTCACCTTTCCAGTTAAATGAGCCAATAACTTCCCTTTTTACTTAAGTCCATAGGGTTCTTCAAATGGGGATCCATGACCCTCAATATATTAGAAACTGCACAACTGGAGCATTTATTAGAAATAGAATGAACTCACTTCAGAAAGAAACGAGGTTTATTTGATGAATATAAATAAGGCGATCAGCACAAAGTACTTCTCATACACATGATAACAAATTTATGAACTGTACATACCTTGTACAATGTTCTACTAGACACGAGGTTACAATGACTGGCTAATACATGCCCACTGGTAGTTTCCAGGGTTCCTTAGTTTTATTTATTTATTTTTCATATCGATGTCCATAATCACATGGTCAATATCACAACCCACATGCCACTCACTTGAAGAAATATTACAAGAAGCACTATCAAACGAGGGTCTCGGGGAATTAGATACACTGACCCTCGGCAGCATTCAATCGCCACTCTACACAAAAACATTGCAGATAGAGCTTATGTCAACACATTTGAGGTCTCGTCATAAACACTGTTTAAAAAGTAAATTGAAACCCACTTTCAAATGAAAGTTGACACGCTGCTAACGTGCATACTGGATACACAAAAATCATTAAATACAAAATTGACACTGTACATCGAAATCAAATGGGGTATCAAGTACAAGCCTGCTTTTGCACAAAGACCAGCTTCTCCTAAATGTTAGCCCAAACGTCTTTTTTCAACTATGTTATGATTAGAAGGAAACCTGCTAAAGTTCGCGCAAAGGAAATAGCTTCCCAACATCACAGTGTTTGTTGTAAACCCAGAGACTATTCTTAATATGTGAAAAAGGGATATTTTTGGTAACCCCCCAAACATCAGAGAATATTACATGAAATGGGAAAGGTTGTTATGTTAGAGAGAATTTAAATTTTAAGGGACTAAATGATGTGCCCCCATAAAGGGAAGATCAATATTACTTTTAACCAACGAAAGTTGGGCAGAAAATGATCCCTCCAAACAAGAGCTGTGACAAAATTGGCACATACATAGAAATAGCTAGCTATACATGGGTTGGTTGGTTTTTTTTCTGTTCCAAGGACCCATTTTCCCTACTGGATTTCCTACTTCCTACTTCAAGTATTCAGTTGCAGAGTTCAGGTCAAGACCTGGTTGTAGGAGGCAGTGAGGACCACTTTTTGAGGACATTCAAACTGTTCACTGGGACGCATTTGTGGCCTGGGTTTTCAGTGCAACATTGTGTCAAAATGTGCTAAATAAGCTTGCAAAGAACTCTGCTTATGTCTCTAACCAAGACCTAGATCCCTCTGATAGTTAAAGGACAAACTTTTAAAACATGAATGCATTTGGATTGTTTACGCAACACGTAAGCATTACATAGTTGGTTATACTTACTGATGACAAGAACAAAGCCTGAAGCAAGAAACCTGCTTGAGTATCTTAACTGCGAATGCACCAAGAAAGAATGGTGCAACTCAGGGACAGTTTCATCTTCCCCGACAAATAAGGTGTTTGTCTTTTAAATATCTCTATGGCTCACAAGAGAGGTCCAGAGTTAATTGCACCAACATTTAAAAAAGTAATAATAATGACTAAATTCAATGCAAGAGTTCAGGGACATCTGTTTAGAATCCTTTCCACAGCAGCAAAGAAAGACAACTATATTTATTAAGGCCACTCATGCTTAAATTCACTGTTTGTCCTTTAAAAATGCAGGTTTTCATCTCCCACTTGCATACACGTGGAAGGGTTTCTTCCATTGACAAGAAAATGGAGCAATACAAGAGTTGCACATGTTTGCCAGACTCAGTCATGAGTTTTATGAAGTTATAACAATTTTAATTGTTTCTTAATGTTCAGAGGAAGCAGTAGGAGTTTATTTCTCCTTAGTACCATATCACTGTATGTAAAAGACCTCAAAATTTGGTCTTTTTCCCTGGCATGTGCTTTAAATAATGACTGTATCCACAGACATGTTGTGTAGAGCTATATACAGAGACACAGCTTTTGTGATTGTTCCTCATTCATCAATGTTTTCATGTTTGATGCTGAAATGCTTTGGAATCCATGTTGCAGACACATTTTCTTTAAAAGAAAAATAAAAGAGAAATGACCCTTCATTTATAGAAAATCTAAGCTTACACTGTTTGCACAGCATTTGGATCTTGAAATGTGAATGAGTCCCAGCTTCTTCATGGAGACCTGCATGTACCGGGATGGAAAGAGTCTGAGGCTTGGTGGCGTCCCCGCCGTAGGGATGTGCAGAACACAGGGACTAGAGAGATGCAGGTGCCTCAGGCTTTTGCCACTCTCCAGTACATGACGGGGTACTGGATAAAATTATGAATGATCAATTTAGATGTGCCATGCATTGTCAGAGACACACACCATGTTCTCATAAGGCGATTTCTTGGCAAGTATTAGTGGTTTAAAAAATTGATTTCATTTCCAACCTGGCCCAGAGGTAACTACTGGTTACACCCTCAAAATGCGGTTCTTCAAACAACAGATTAAAGAAATAGAGGAGGGTAAAGGCTCGCAATTTTTGGTGTTTTTTGTTTCTTTGTCAAACACTCCATGCATCATGGTATACAAGCACTGCCAACACCACTCACTCACAGCGAATTTACACTTTTTGATAATCTAATGCATTAGGAATGCCCAATTAGACTGAACCAGCAGGATACTGGAGATGAGGCTAGTTGTCCAACAGAAGCTGAATCCACAGTTAAAATCCCATGGAGTTCAAATTTATCCAATGATGTTTAAGTAACATAAACAAAATGTTATCAAATAATGACATTCAGCAAAGATGATCACATTCAAAATGCCCGCATCCCGACAAAAATGGAGGAGCTGTCACTTTTCTCCTCCTCTGCATTCTTCCTTTCCATCATATCCAAATCCATGAGAAATGACATGAGGTGATGAAGGAAATATCAAGTAGAACAGAATCACGCTCAATAATGTAAGTGAAAACTCCCCTTCAGTTCTGATGAGCCGCTCCAGGTGGTGGTGGACAGTGATGTGAGCCTCACTGCAATAGATTATCAGAATATTGCTGCAGAGCTGCATGTTCCCTTTATTCAGCCCTTCTGATAGCTGCAACAAGAAGGCACATCATTTAGCAGGAGAAGAAACTGGCAACAATATCTGAGATAATCCTGGCAGAAAGTTTCCCACTCTTCACCCCTGCACGCCTCTCCACCACTCTCAATGGTTGGGATTGGGTGGGAGTGGGGAGGGGGTAAGGGGAAGAAACACAGAGGAAGGACAAAGTAAACAGAAAGATAAACTATGTCCTGCAAGTACATCTGAGAAGAGGCCTCTTTCAAAATATGTCACATATATGTACAAATGTCTCTTGATACACAAAAAAGGGAATTGAAGGGAAATATGCCAAAATGTTCCAGTGATTATTTCCACATAATCAGACTATATGTCAACTTTCATTCTCTCTACACTTTTCTACAATGACGACGTTTTTAAATTATTTTTTAATTTGATTTTATAGACATTAAAGAATTAAAGATGGTTAAGATATCAGAGAACTCAGCATTCACTTAAAAACCAACCAAACATAAATGCGACAGTCATCCATTTGTCTATTTACTGCCCTGGGAAACAGGTATCCAGGAGCACCCCAAGGTTTCTCACTGTCCCAGTGAGGAGCCCTGAGTGTTGATACAACTGCATCCTGGGAAGCAATAGTGCAATGGGTGAGAAGAGGGGTCCATCCCACACTACTGCTTCAGATGAGGACTTCCTTCCCTGCTGATGCTCAACTTTGTGTGCCTGTGCCATTATCATTCACATATGGCCTGTGAGTGCTTCAGGGTTTCCAGCCACATGAGCTCAGCTATCTGGGAAATACGGCAGGAAGAGAAAAGATCAAACATACACACACACCCTTGTGTACACACAAGTCACTTGTACACATACCCTGAGCTGTCTCATTTGGTGGTTGATATGCAGCATGTTTCAAGTCACGCCGACTAACAAGAATGCCAAAGATCCCAGTGTCTGCACAGGTAGGCAGCTATTTCAAGCCATCATTAAGTAGTGCAAATGAAATATGTGGCTTGGATGAACTCTGCTAATTCATAGTCTGAGGAGTTTGGTGTAACCCTTCTGGTTAAGAAACTTGAATCGGGGTAAAAAAATGACTTTTGCAGAGCCAGAAAGTTAGGGAGTTCCTAGAGCAGATCATATTACTCATTCTGGCACATAAACTCTCTGCAAACTTTGTATGAAAATTGTAAGTCAGAGCACGCTTTCTGTTTCATGAGCTGTGCATAGCTCTAATTCTTTTGTGCATTAAGCATTTCTTAATCATCCTTTTAAAGGGCTGACCAATTTATTAAAAGGCCACATGATTGAAAGGTAAAGAGAAACCCTAAGTAGTATTCAAATGCACCAGTCCTTTTTTTTTTTTTTTTTTTTTTTTTTTTACAGATGGGGAAACGAGTGAAAAACAATTACAGTGAATGTCCGATGTCCTTGATGTTTTTCCAAGATAAAGTAGCAAAAAACAATCATTTATTCAGTTGTGAGAAAGATTTCCAGCTGGGCAACAGGTCACAAGGCAGAATACAATGCCCCACAATTGCAGCACACTGCTTTTGGGTAAGGTTTATGCTGGAGAGAAGAGAATTCTCTAAAAGTGTAGTCATCCTTTCAATCAAACAATCCATTCACCAGGAGGCTTAACTGGCTTTAAGGAAAAAAAGAAAAACAACAAGGTAACCTCAGGTGACACCGCCAGCATTTGGAAATGCAGATGATCCCTTGTGGAGGGGGCAAAGAAGCATATGCTTTAAAAAATAATAATAAAAAATGAACTGGCTTCCAGCAATGAGCCAATCTAGGCTGCCACCCACTGTGAGATGATCCCTGGCCAGTCCTCCCTCACCTGGACAGTCACAGCGGCCCTTACCCTTCTCCAGCTTCCTCTTACAGCACCGCACTTTCAACGCAGCAGCCGACAGCAGCGCCATTTCAATGGTGACATCCACTCCATAGTGCATTCCCTTTTACAGTTTACAACCCCTGTTTACAATCCTGTTTTTAATCCCATTGCCCTTAGGATGCAGGACTGATGGACTCCAGGCCATACTGGCGAGGCCCCATCTGGCCTCTCTGCAGTCCTGTACTTACCCCTGACATTCCACTCTTGTGTTCCACCGAAGAAGAATGTTCCACCGAAGCTGAGCTTGCTTCCGCAGCCCTAAAAATTTATTTTCTCCCCATCTCACAAGCGTGTCTTTCTATCTAACATGCATTTACACCAGCTCTTTATCTGATCGATCCCTGTTTATTCTTCAGTTTCAACTTGGATGTCATGTCTTCCCAAGAAGCCTTTCTTGACCCTCTTGGGTGTGATATAGAGTGGGAAGTCTCACATATACTGCAGGGTCCCCTTCTGATGAATTTTCTAGACTTGTACATCCGATAGAGTGTATGTGTGTATGTGTATATACATATATATCTTTCATTTTGAGGCAGGGTCTTGCTCTGTCACCCAGGCTGGAGTGCAGTGGTGTGATCATGGCTCACAGCAGCCTCGGCCTCCTGAAATCAAGCAATCCTCCTAGCTCAACCCCCCAAGGAGCTAGGACTACAGGCACGTGCCACCAGGTCTGGCTAATTTTTGTATTTTTTTATAGAGATGAGTTCTCACTATGTTGCCCAGGCTCGTCTCAAACTCCTGGGCTCAAGTGATCCACCTGCCTCAGTCTCCCAAAGTGCTGGGATTACAGGAATGAGCCACTAAGCCCAGCCTACCAGTTTAGAGAGCACCTCAGGTAGGCAAAATCCTTAAATCTACTCCCTACCCAAGATTCCCTATCCTAATCCCTGGCACAGGGAGCGAGAAGGTATCAGACCACGTTTACTATAAAGTTACCTTACGATGTAGTTACTAATCAGTTGACTTCAAATTAGTCTAAGGGGGATTATCAGCTGGGAGAGGTGGCACATGCCTGTAATCCCAGCACTTTGTGAGGCTGAGGTGGGCGGATCTTCTGAGCCCAGAAATTGGAGAACAGCCTGGGCAACATGGCAAAACCCCATCTTCACAAAAAAAGTTAAAAATTAGCTGGATGTGGTGGATGTGCCTGTGGTCCAAGCTACTCGAGAGGCTGAGATGGGAGGATCAACTGAGCTGGGGAGGTCAAGGCTGCAGTAAGCCGTGATTGTGCCACTTTAGCCTGGGTGACAGAATGAGACCTTGTCTAAAATAAAAAATAAAAAATTTTTAAAAAGGGTGATTATCTGAGTGGACCTAATTTAATGACAGAAGCCCTTTAATAGCAGAGATGTTTATTTGCTGTAGCAGAAGAGAAAGTTAGGGAAATTTGAAACCAGAGGGATTGGCTGTGCTGTGATGGAGTGAGCCGGGGCAAGGACCTGAGAGCTTCCTATACGATGTGAGAATGGCACCCAGGTGACTGTCAGCAAGGGAACAGGGACTACAGACCTACAACCACGAGGAAATGAATTCTGCCAACAAACCGAAGGAGCTTGAAGGTGGATGCTTCCTGGAGCCTTCAGATTGAAGTCCAGCTAAGTCCACGTTGACTTTGGCTTTACGAGAGCCTAAGCAGAGAACCCAGTTGAGCCCATCTAGGCTTCTGACCTATGTACAAAACTGTGAGCTAATAAATGGGTGCTATTTTCACCACCATATTTATGGTAATTTGTTATGGAGCAATAGACTAATACAGCACCTCTCTGGGTCAGGCAACGTGCTTGGTGCCAGGAATGTAATAGTGAGAAAAGCAGACAAGGTCCATGCCTTCATGGAGCCTGTATTCTTGGGGAGGAAGACAGAAACAAATAGACACACAGATCAACAAATGAATGAGAATTTAAACATTCGCACCATGAAGAAAAGGAACGGGGAACTGTGATAGGGATGCTTAAGATTTATTAAGTGACTGATGACAATTATGACGTCAATTTTTATTTTCTTTTGATGGGAAAAGATGTCTATCCACAACTTTTCAGTGGAAAAAGCAGATTACCATTTTATAGGCATAGCTCCATCTCATTTTTGCATCAACATATACATAAACATTTGCAAGTGTATACATTAGAATATTATTAATATTTATCTCTGGGTGATGTTTTTAAATTTTTCCCCTTTATTTAATTTTTATTATTTTTTTGAGATGGAGTCTCTCTCTGTTGCCCAGGCTGGAGCGCAGTGGCGCAATCTCAGCTCACTGCAACCTCTGTCTCCCTGGTTCAAGCGATTCTCCTGCCTCAGCCTCCCAAGTAGCTGGGACTACAGGCGTGAGCTACGGCGTCCAGCCATTAAAATTTTCTCCTTCAGACTTTTTTTTGGTGTGCTTTTTGGATTTTTTTAAACCTAAGAATACATAAATAGTATCATACTAAAATATAAAGCTATTTTCTTTGTGGGGAGAAACCAGGATTGGGTAGGACTGCTGCTCTTGACTTGGTTCTAGGTGTAGGGGTGTGAGGGGCGGGGTGGGTGACCGAGCACAGCAGTAAGATTCCGCTCCAGGACAAACGCCCCAGGGAGAGCAGGCTATAAACGTGTGGTGTCTCACAAATATTCCTTCAGACTGTTTTTCTTTGGAATAAAGACACCTGCCCGGGCTTTCTTCTCCTGCCCTTTCAGTAGTGATTTGCAGAAACAGGCTGGGAGAAAGGGGTCTTTGGTAAACACGGAGGGGTTAAAGGGGAAACTGTTTAATAACAGTAGTAAAACGCAGGCTATTTTTGACATCTGGGTTAATGTCCATTATGTTCCATGTGCTTTCCAAATGTGTGCAGTGTGCCCCCAGGTACAAAAACAGACACCCATTCACGACGGCTTCAGATGCCCCTAACACGCAGCACGTGGTGCCCACAGAAAAGGCAAGCCCCTGATAGACTAATTAACAACGGTTGGAGGAGAAGAGCTGCTCCTTCTGGGGGCAGCGGGCATCCTGCAGAACAACTACATGAAGCCACTCTGCTCGTAGCAAAACCCAATAGAGTCGTTTCTGCTAAAAAAAAAAAAAACTATAACTACATCTGTGTTATTACTTAACATCTTTAAACATGGAGTGGAATGGGTTTCCCGTTTTCCT